TTGAAGCTATCACGGTGCGCTAAAAGCCGTGGCTTGGAGGGTTGTCAACTGACGAGATAACTTGGACATCGCAGTTGGCCCAGTGTGTTTGTTGTGTAGAGTGCCTTACTAGGGGGGCTGGCAGTCAGGCTGCAATGGATCCTTCTTAATGTGGCCTTTGTGGCGCTCTTAGGCGGGAGCCTACCCAGTGAGGTGTGCTGTTAGTACGTATGTTGGTCGCGCCAGCTGTCTGCGCCCTCTTCCATCTCCGGTCTTCGCGACTTTTGTCTTGACATTGGGTTCGGATGTGGGAGTGGTCAGAGAGTGGGGTAGATTCTCCGCAAGTCTCCTTTCACTATAATCCCGCGGGCGTCACCGCGTTGCTTCAGCCTGCTGAGGTTCGTGGGGGACATCGTCGAATCCGCAGGTCGAAATGTCGTGTGTAGGTGTACGTTTGACAAGCAGGAGACTGTGCCACGACATCGGATTTCAGCCCTAGTCGGGTTTGCCACAGAACTATGCTACCATTACCTATGATTAAGGATTCCCGACAGAATCCGAAACGTCAGGACAGTAAAACCCTTATTCCAGTGGTCGAATCTCCTTCTTCTGAACTGCTTCCTGGAACTCGCATATTCACCTCTTTTGGTGACATCTTACAGCATTATGCATAATACAGTTAAAGAGTGGTTTGACCTCTGTGTGTTTGGGAAGGGTGGTCTTGGCCTGGTGGTTCTTATGCAGCACTCACTTTCAACGTAGGACTTTATAAACCGAAGGTAAGCCAATACGCCTGTTGGCAGAGTTAGCATCTGAGGGCCACGCCTCAAGTGTGAGTCGCTTTGTCCTGGAACGACCTTGGCCTCCAGATGGCCGCTTCTTGAAGGTCAAACGTGGGGCCGATTTCTCCAGTATGTTTGGCTAGCCGAAGGTTTGGATGTAGTCATATTGTGTACTTTTAAAGGCCGTCGTGCAATCTCCGTCAGGTTTCAACAGGTCAGAGCCCTCATGCTATCCAACGAACTCCAGGGGTTTCGGCCAGTGGCCACGTATTCCTAGTTTGCATCAAACGACAATTACTGGTTTCCTCGTGCCTATGAAGTATGCTTATCCCAATGGATTATGATGGCCGAGATCCTACATCGAACTCTTCCCACCTACATGTCAAACATTTGGGACAACAAAAAGCAAGAAAAACGAACCAGTTCGAGGCCATCTAAATTTGGTTAATCCTTCGAATTTTTGCTCGATTTTGTGCGTTTAAGGCTTTGGAAATGGTTACACGTCCAAATTCGCACAAAACGGCAGCACTACAATAATTCAGTGCCGATGAGTCATTTCTCTCTCTCAAATTATTATGCCGAAACCCTACTTTTTTTTCTTTAGACGAACACAGCCATCACCCCGCCAAGTCCAAACCCGGAGCCACAACCTCCGAGTGTCCGCTTACTTGG